GAACCTTTCTAGATCTTAATTTACTGGCGTATGCAGGCTCCGGTTATTGCAGATTGGCTCAAAGTTGCTGCTGTGGCGTGCAATTTATATTCTGAATGCTAATACTCGTATCACTAAGCGCCCCCAATACAGATCATCTTTACGTGGTAATGAAAGTTGAATAGTCCCTTTGATGTACATATCTGATCAGCATGCGCGTTGCCAAGCCACAGTGATCATAATATATCCCCTGTTAAGCCATTGACAGTTGAAACCAGAAATAAGTCATAATTATTCATAGCAGCAAAAGAAATGTCCATCCAAACAAAGCATAAGTAAATCCCCAAAGAAATTTCAAGCTGAGTTAACAGGTCGAAGATTTCATGGCATGCTATATATCCATACCATAGATCATCCTTTCTCCTTTCCATGCATCCGATTCCGTTGACGGTGGTAAATCAAGCGCCGGAATCCCTTGGTTTTCCGATCCCATCCTGTCTGTTGTAAACGCCTTAATCATTGTGTAGCTGTGTGCTGGGTATGCCGCCGATGTTTGTAGTGTACAGCCGAATCTTTGTTCATAATAAACCTGGTCTCAAATTGGCAAGCCAATATGCTTATCTTGGTTTGGGTTACTCGACTTTATTTCCACACCCAACTGTTGGGCGACACAACTGCTGGAGACGTCTTTGCCCATATACTTTTGCAGAATGGTGTCAAAGTCGGTCTCAGCAACCACAGGACCAGTGCCAGAGCACTTGGCCTTCTTGGTAAGTTCCGAGCAGAGGCCGTCGAGGTCGAATTCACCATTCTGTGCCTTGGGGCAAGCTTGAAGTTTTTCCCTGTAAGATTGTGTTAGAGACAGACACTCCCTGAGTATACAAGTTGGTACATACCACAATTGATTGCAGTTCATGTTCTGCTTCTTAAGAGGCTCGTCATCGGACTCCTTTTCAGCATCAATCTGATCAATCAGGTTCGAAGGTTTCTTGGTTTGGCCATTGAGATGCGTGCTGGGGCTGTTAGGAGCCATGTTGTAGGGAGTAAAGAAATCGCTCTCGAGAGCATCGTTGAAGAAGTCGTCGAAAGATGGGTTTGCCAAGACGTTTTCTTGAGGCTCACGATAATCACCAAAGAGCTGTGGGTCAAACTGTCCACCGTTCTGCTGTGACAGCCAGTCAAAGTTGGTGCTGTTCAGGTCGATGTTGCCGAACTGGCTGGGGTTGTTATTGTTGTTGTGGTGCGTCTGCTCCTCGCCAATGGTAGTCATCGTATCAACGGGCTTAAAGCCCATGGGAGACTGGTTGAAAGGCTCAGGTGATGTTCCGCAAGAAGAGCTGGGACCAGTGTTTGAATGTGATGAAGCAGATGGGGAGCTGGAAGCGCCATTGACGCTGTAGTTTGCGGAGTCAACGCTCGCACGGGAGGGGTTGGTGGCAGAGCTTGCCATGGAAGGGCTGAAGACACCCGAGAACTTGGCCAAGTCATCCTTGAATTGCTGTGCGGTTTGGGCGCTGCTGTTGAGGCTGTTGGTAGGGCTTGGGTATGTGACCTTTTGCTGAGCCGGGCTTGTAGGCGATGAGCCGGTCTTGCTGACAGGTGGTCCTGGAAGCATGCCAAATTTGGGAAACTCGAACTGGAAGTTGACATCGCCTAGGTTGCTGACGGCAGCGCTGCCAAAAGGAACCTTTTCTCTGGGCAGTGACTTGGTAGCTGACATCACTGTGACCTTCTGCTTATACTGGTTGAGTTCAGTGGTCATACGCTCAACCTGAGCTCGAAGCATGCCATTCTCATGGTTGGCAGCCTGCGAAGCCTTCTCAAGCTCTTCAACCTTTGTCTCAAGGTCCTTCAAGTGCTTCTCCTTGCGTTCTCTGAAAGCACGCTGAGCGGCTCGATTTTGAGCCTTGCGCTTCTATTATAAGGATTAGTAAGTAATACACTTTATACGTAATCAATTGATATAACGTACCGAGCTGGGCTCGGATGTAAGAGGCTTACGACCGGGCTTCTTAGGGACCTTGTCGGTACTCTCACGGCGCTTGTGGTCTCCACCAGGGCTATCTTCATCATCCTCATCGTCGGGGTAGCTGCGCTTCTCCGGGGTATCAGTCTCTGGGGAGTCGGACAGAGCGACAGAACCAGAGTTGTTATTGTGTTCCGTGGAAGCAGCGGGAAGATCTCCAATCATGGAAGGCTGGTCCTCGCTGGCGAAGGAGAAGTCGAAACCAGAATCGCCAAAGTCATAGTCGTAGTTGTCGAGGAAGGGACTCTCCTGGTAGCCTGTAGCGGTGGCGGGCTTTTGTTGGCCAGCAGAATTGCGGAATGTCGAGGGAGAAGCCGTCAGAGAATTGTCCACGGGAGAACCAGACAGCTGCTGTTTGTTGGAGTTAAGAGCAGCAAAGAGCAGGTTCTGCTGTTGCGGGGTCAAGAGAAAGTTGGGTGGCAAAGTGCCTCCAGTACCGGTAGAAGCCATCGCGAATATGAAACGGGCGATCGAAAAGAGGCGTAACGGTGAGGAACGATTTGAAATCGAGGCAGACGAAATTGATGCCACGCGGGTTGATTATAGATTCAAGCTCTCTGCCAGTCCAGGCTCACGCAGGAGGGGACAAAGAGCCAGACCAGAGGCTGTCTGTGCCTTAAGCCTGTGTAGCGGCGACGTCGGGGACCTAGACGAGCGGGGCGGGCTTCTGCTGGGTTATGATACTGGCATATAACTAATTATCAAACGGCGATGAGAAGAGAGGCAAAGTTGAATAATAATAAGAACGGAGTTTTCGGATTCAGGCCGCAAAGGACAGGATAGAAACTGAAGCTACTATGGTATGTAAGGTAACAGTATGTAAGATTGATGATGAAATCGGTGGTTTCTGGTGTCAGGCGGAGCCAAGAATGGGCGAGGAAGGGAAATCGAGTGAGATGGATGGCTGCAAGTAGGTAGAGCGGGGGCAGCTGAGCGGGCGTTGGAGTTGAATCGCACTGTAGGTACTGTATCTACGCGTACCCAGAGCCTAGCAGGGCAAGCAATAGCAAGCAGGCAAGGCCAAGCAAGGGTCCAATGCGGAGCGTCCGACCAGAAAATTTGCTGCCTGAGTCACAAAGATTCCTTCTAGTTCATTCTTCCATCAGCTCACTAGACCCTGAACAGGAACCATCCTGGGTGGGGGTCAGCGAGTTTCCGAGAGAGGCTGGGTACAGGAACGTGAACTTTCGACAGTGCGAATAGCGTCAAAGTTGCATTTGTCAGCCGGGGCTACCGGTCCTCGGGACCCATGGATATCTTACAACAGAGAGGACGAAACAAAAAGCCCATCTAGGCCATGCCAAAACGAGCCATGAGCATGCTATTGTCCGTCTGTCTTTTCTCCCTTTCCTATCGCCTGAGGCTCTGACTCACAATAAAAAGACCGTGAGCTTTCACCCATTGATTGGCACATTGCCTGTGACCGGTCTAGCGACTTATACCCGAGCGTTTTCGGCAGATATTATTAGTTGACATGCACGCCCTTCGACGTACGTTGTGCACGAGTATCTCGAGTATTCTCCCCCTTTCTCGGCCTTGTCTTGTTTGACAGTGGCGATTCCTCCTGAACGGTCGGCATTATGCTCCTCCGACTGCGACAGAATGTCGTTTACTTATTGTAAATGGTTGGCCTTGGACTCGAGTCTCAATTACAATGCAGAATTGACTCGAGACCATGACCTTGGTTATGCTTCAACTGACAAGCCTCATGACCTCATAGTTAACTGTCTCTGACTCCCACCTAACAACGCCTCGCTCAACTCTCCTGCAGCCATTGCCTTATCCCCGAGCCACAACCACACGGTCCTGTTGAAATTCTCCCCGCCCCCGGATTTAGACCAAGATTCGGAGTTTGCCACACGGCGCACTCACTTCGCTTTCGACCAATCAATGGCAATTATTCTTCCCAATGGGTCAAGTCCAGTTATCAATCGCTGCGATTTCTGCCGTATTTCTGCATCTCAACGGCTGCCAGAAACAGCTCTCTGGATGCGAAAGTACTTCAGAAACAATTGCACGATTGTGGCCAATCGCCCTCATGATCTTGTGTAACAACCCAGCTAAAAGTTAGCAAGTTCGGGGTCGGACGTAAGCAACTGCGGCGTAGTGTGGTGCCTCGATCTGATATGCATGGATGTTTTGGAATCATCCCGGACCCTTGTTTGCATGAACTTGCACGTGATTCCTGTCTCAATTCTACTCAGATCTTGAAACATCTGTAACGTCTTGGCTTAACCTAAAGTTCAACATCACGACACGTTCAATCATATGTTCTTTGGGTGTCGGTAGTTCCTATGCTCTGCAATTCCTCCTAGAAGTTATCGACATATCGTTCGAGAATTTGAGATCAACATTGTCACTGTCGAAACGTGTTATGAATAGGGAGTCTTATCCACCTCATAAACTGAAGCATATGCTTGCCCAGAACATGTCACAGAAAACAGAGGTCACATTTCCTCCATTGAACCAAAGCGATGCAATATCGTTAGGGCGTGGTAAAGCTGCAAACCAACTGCTTGGCTAACGGGCTGCATGTAGTTGGACTTAAACTTAGGGCCTCCATCTTAAGTGATGAAAAGCCTTAGGTAAGTTTAGTATATCTTATTAGGTATTTAGAACAGTACATCGGAATCTGTCAAGGTCGGGCTCCTTATCCCCAGGAAGTCTTGGTGCTTGTAGCAGTGCTATGGCCAGCACTTGAACCGCTCTCGTTTGAGATGTTGAGATTGCGGTTGGTGGGCATCGCCCAAGTACTCTGTATTTAAAGGCACTTTGCCTGATGGCCGTTTGAGAGGGTCAATGAGGGAGCGATTTAAAATAAGGGTCACATGTTGACATGAGTTAAATTCATTTGGCGGAATGTCATGTGTGTATTGTAAACTGCAGTTGTTACCACGAGTCCCGATATTGGTCCACCAGAGAATCCATAGCATTGCCCACGGGCAATACAGTCCAACACTCAGTTGCCATCCTCCCCATCTGCCATCTCCTTAGCTCAGTTGGAGTCGACGCCATCATCGAACTTCTCGCGCATGCGTTGACAAGCATGAACCGCGACATGAGCGGCAGCGGCCCAGGTGAGAATGTGCTGCTGGGCAGCCTCAATGGTGCGGTTGCCGACACAAGGGCAGTACTCCGTTTCGCCCTCTTTGGGGGACGTCCACATCAGTCTCATTCGGCGTTTGCAGAGATTTCTGAAGCCGGGCATCTGAGAGAGATGACGGACATCGGTGACCTCGAGTGACATGAGCTTTGCAAGGATGGCCTCGTTGTCGTGGCCAGGGGATCCGTCCTGCAGCTCGTGTACCTCGGTCTTCAGGAGTTTGTACTCCATGCTAACTCTGTTACCTCTGTGAGTGATAGATTGAAGAGAAGATAGAGATAGTGATACTTACTGTTGTTCGCTGAAAGGTTCCGTTTGATGTATGCTTTGGGCGTCGGCGATAAGAATCACCGCGACAAAATTGTGAAGGATGTGGAAGTTTCTTGTTTAGTAAAGCTATGTGGGAGAGAGAAAGATTTAATGGGAGAGAGAAATAGCTGATGTAGAAGTCGGAATGCGAAGCGTAAGGTAGCGTGTACTCCTTGGGTCGCTGATTCACTGTCACTTACTGCCACTGGCCAGCTTTTCTTTTTACTACGGTTCATATAATATCTGTTTACATTTGTCTGTTTCTTTTTGCCTTAGGTGCCTTGTGTAGCTGTTTATTCTCCCAGAGCCTCTCCTTGTTGATATTCTTTCTCTACCAATACCTCATCCAGCACGGGTCATCATCAACCTCCGCAGGTTATGAACCTTGGCGAGCCATTATCTTTGCGATCGAACCCCTTTTCTTCCTCTATACCCCTATCTGTGTTTTGTTTTCCTGAAACCGCTCCTAGCATCAGAGTATCAATAAAATAGAGAACTCTCTATACCTTCTGCCGGTGAGACCTATGGCAAGCACCCTCAAAACAGGATCTTAAGAACATCCCACAGGTAAACTCCTCCCTTAGAAATAGTCATGGGAATGAATACTTTCATACCGTTCGCGTGCATAGCATCAGGTCCCATGTCGCCGAGAGACTCGGGAAGTTCCTTGATCAACAAGAGCACCCTGGTGTGTTTCTCCCCAGGTCAGTGATCAAGTATGTTTCAAAGTCCAACTTCAGCAATATTAAAATATTATAATGCTAGTAGGTTCCTTGAAATTCAAGCTGTATCAGTCCTTGGTCCATGCACTGTTCGAGACCACCAGCAGGGTTTCGAGGACGTCCGCTGCTCCCACGAGCCACACAAGCCATCAAAGAACCCGCGGAGCTCATCAGGATATCTGTCGAGTTCAAAGTTGGCGATAATTGTCGATCAAAGTACGCAGACCTGGCTCGGTTATTGAAGCAGGCCTTGGTAGAGGCAAACTTCCGTGACGTCCGCCTCGCCGGTGGTGGAGGCGGTGTTGGAGCCAGCAAGGAGCTACTATCAACCCTTATGAAGATGTGTGTCCCCTCGCGAGCTCGAGAAGTCGATCTAGATCACTGAACTGGCATCGCAAACTTCTTGGGCTCTATTTCCGACACTCAGGGGCAGATACCAGCTATGTATGCTGGAAATGAAGGGCGACGATTACTTGATGGTCATCTCATCCCTAGTCTTGAGGTGTTTGACATTTATCGTTATTGGGTTCGCTTCTTACAGCAGTTGGTTCTTGCCAACAGAATCGACTTCAACTCCATTATTCGGAATGGACAACCTAGCGACCAACGCGGGCTATATCATTTTGTAGGTAACCCAAATCACTAGATGAATTCTTAGAGGGCCAAGAGCGATACTAATAACTGAGACTTTATATGATAATGCTCTACCCACTCTTGCGGAATGGTGAGGAATCTGGCCTGCGCCATCCCCAACACTTCGCATTCGCTATAACATCGGGCTTGAATCGCAAGGTTATCTACCGAGAAGAAGAGCACGAGAACATCGACGAGATCTTTCCCAAGGACTATGGAACTACCCAGATCAATTTAATTGATTCTCTGGCCATCTTCCTCAGCTCGATGAGATGTGTATTCTTCCCAACAGGCAGCACTTCTATCGAGGAAAATGAGCGCTACGAGACGGTCCTATCAGTTTGGAGGATATACAGTACCCCTTCCACAAACCCCGTGGAATGGGTCGGCCGTGGCGACGTCATTTTTAAGGTAACAACTCGCTTCTCAATTCAACGTTGTTAATCATTGCACCATTGTCATAATGCTGGCTAAGGTATCTACAACACCAACACTAGGTACTACGACACTGGTAACATCTTTTTTACATAAGATAGCGACTTGTCTTTTATCATGAATCTTCGAAGATGTTTACCTTCCACCAGTACCTACCAAAGTGGGTAAATAAGTATCTAAGTCGAGCCTTCTAATCCTCCTCGATACCCATTCCACTCTGCATTTAGTCGGCAATGGCACTCTTAGACGGTCAGGAGGCTTCTGGTTTCTAATATTTATGCATGGGGATTTTGGTAGTCATGCAATAACTCTACGGCCAATGCGCCTTCCCTATAAGTCTTCGGATAGGGAAGGCCCACCTAGACATCAACATGGCGGCAGGAGGCTCACCTAACTTCCTTCCATGTCGAGCTTCCAACGTATGTGTGTAAGTATCCAAACTTCTCGAGGCTCACCCAATTCAACACATGGCAATGATCTGGAAGACCTCTATTAAATGTCTTGAACTCGTCATCAAGTATTATCGACTCTACATCGTTTCGTATGTATTTCCTTTGCAATACACCTACAGTGTGTGCTAATAATGTCTATAGATGCCTTCTCCAACGGCTACAGCTTCATGGAAACCACGGCGTTGTTAAGAGAGATGGGAGGGAGCGGCATCAGATCTCCAGAGCCCCTGGCATCGCACGTATCTACTCCAATACCTGCCGAGGATATACTGCACTCTGTCCCATCCGACTCGCTGGGCCTTCAGGATGCATATCAGTTGAGTGAAATGAAAACAAATATTGACAGAGCGTCAGAGGCCTGTAAGGTGGGTACGATCGTAGAAACTGAACGTCTGAAGTAAGAGTCAGATCACAACCACACATCAATATGTGAGGTTTATCTGGATCAAAAAAGGCTCGAAGCATCGCCGACTCCGCGCTGAGATTGCGACAACTGGCAAGGACCTACAATCCTCGACACCGAATTCGCAGTCGATATAGACAAGATGGAACTTGTTGCGATCGCAAACTTCTTCACTCAGCATTGGTCTGAGTCTGAGCTTATTTGGTTCCCTCATCGCTTGCGCGTCCGCTTTCCCCCTGAGTCTGAATGGATCTGGCCCCTTCTTGACCAATTCAGACACTAACAGGGAAAGTCTGTAGTTGTAGTTCTGCTGCAATGCCCTCGCCGCAATGATCACATCAACAAGCCTTCAAACAACCCGTGTTTCACGCACGAGATCGCCAACGTAATCGAGAGTTGTAAGTTGCACGACGGGTGATCATGAAGTCAACTACTGATACTTGGCTAGGTTTCCAGCCGCTTGGTCTAGGGATCCTGAGGCTCTACTTTCGAAAGCAGTGCCGTCAGACGAAAGACGATAAGCATTGCCTAGGAGTATGCCATGGACAAGAAAGCTTTGTTCTGGGTCTATGTACTGCGGTTGAAATGCTGATCGCAACCCACGTCTATGGTGTCAAAATAGACTCAACTATTGTGCTTTCGAAATCCATTGCTTCTCTTGGAAGTGGGATTGATATAATACGGGGGTAGGACATGTGCTTGATAGAGACTATCTATCGAGTGCCATGGCATCCCGAGTCCTATATAGTGGCCTAATTCGGACTGTTAACGCCCAAAACGCCATGGTGTCAGTGAACACATGTCTATTTCCTATCCTGAAAAGGATCCCCGCCACCTTTCAACGGTCCCAGTCATGACTGCCGGGTCGTATCATCTTTCCAGTGGATCAGCACGTCCAGATGTTTCTCGAATATTGCCGATCAAGTCGTTGCATCTCAGTTCAAGCGATCTTCACCGACAGTCCTACCCAAACTCGTCCACTCGAACTTTTCAACACGTCGTGAACAATTCCGTCAGATCCTGGCGTTAGGGCCAAATTTGTCAACAGAACACACATAAAGCTTTCTGCATCTTCTCATAATGACATTATCACACAAAGTCCATTACAAGAGCTTCTTGTTTACGATACTGAAGCAATAGTTTCCTTCCATCAATTTGACCCCCCACATGGACTTTCGGACATCTACACTGTCGAACCTCAACCCTTCATGGACAACTATAGTACATCCGCCAGTTTCGATACGAAAGAATATACAGATCCAAGTCTGTCACTCTCGACCCACACTCGTAAAGGTCGCACCGCGTCAAAACGCCGCCCCCCTGCGGTTAACGAGACGATTGCAGCCCTTTTCGTTTTAGACCAATCCGATCCACCTGTCCCAGCCTTCAAATCGAGAGGGATAGGTGTGAACTCTTGCCTAGGGGACGAAAACGATTAGGTAAAGTAATCATAAACGTGCCTAAGTTTATCCTAAACTTAGGGAAGATTTCCCTAAATTTCCCTAAGTTATCCTAAACTTATTAAAGGCTACCCGAAGGTTACTTGAGTTAATCACATTCGCAATGCCGCTCAGATTCTCTCATATACTCGCATTCTTTGCGTACAATCTATAGACTTTGTTAACGTTTATGGTCAATACAAACGGATCTTTATTCAAAGGTAAAAAGTCATGTCCTTGCGTCCTTAGTTAGGTCGCCGGCTTGTCTTCTTCCACCGCAGGGATCCTGGGTATGCCACAAGCCCGTATCACTACACGTACCGCACATCGTCGTCTAGTACACACCAAATTTGACGTGCACAAATAATACCAGGTCCGGCGCCCTAACGGAAGCCAGCGGGTATGTGTACCGCCTCTCGTTGAAGCGACTGCACACATTGTCGAGTGGCAAGTAGTTGAAACCTACCAAGGCCTTTTGTGGGTTCCTCTACCCGGCTGGACAGCGGTTTATCAAATGCCTCACACTACAGCACGGCCAATACCAATGAAACAAGATCACTAAGTCGGCAAAGTCGCCGATGTGCTCAGTGGTGAAGACGAAACCCAAGCGGATATCGATCGAAGGCCCCTCTCAGAGCGTGGCTAGAATTCCCATCGCTTCGTGGACTCCCTAGCATATACGTCTCAGCAGTGGGCTGACGAAGCTCTACCCGATATCAACCCTTTGGGATTGCGCGCGGAACTTTAGGAGGCTAGGTGAGGTCAGTCTCCTGGGGCGGATTCATCAGAACCAAGTATAACTTCTCCGCCTTCTCCGCGACAGGGCATTGGAGACCTCGATTCCTTTCCCATCCCAGAGCTGGGAAGAACGACTCACACTTGGCATACTGCCTACAGCGACGCCTTGACTGCATATCCCCAGAAGCATCCACAGTACCTTTCGCTAGAGCCTTATAAAGTTGGCTCAGATAGAAGCACACAACGCATCGAAGCAAATACTCGGTCTATTACTTCCTGTGAAACGGAGAGATCTCCATTCCCGACAACATGACGAAGCATATCATCCGGCTGCAGGGGCCTGATGGCAAATACCGCGAGACAATTGAGGCTGGCGCCTCAACAGGCCTGGAATACTCCATATCCGACATGATGTACGAAGAGCGATGGTTAATGGAAGCGGCGCCACGTCACAGGAAAGTTCATCGCCAGAGCAGGACGACTCTATTTCCTCCTCGACGTCAGTATCCAATTTGAGTCAATATCTGGACTAAGAAGGAAAGGAGATCAGCGTTCACGGCATTGGGCAACAGGCAAATGCCCTCTGGGAGCCTCAACAATGCCAAGCCCCCAACCAGAGCCAGGTCGGAGACTGTGTCGATGGATGGAGGAGGTCAGCGGCACCTATTGTGATCTTCCAAGTACTGCCAAGAGCTTCTATTGCGACAAGCTGCGCGACAAAAGATGCGACAAAGGATGCCTAGGAAGGCGGCGGCCATAATCTTTTAAGACCGTTGAAAGACGACGATGGCAATGAGAACGTCTGTATGATTGTAGTGGGAAGATCTGCCACTGATTTGCATCCTGGTGTAATGCACGACTAGAACCAGCCCCGAATAAAGCGATCGCTTGAGTGGGAAATATCCATAGCCTTTGTTTTGTTCGCCAACTCACTACATGAGACGCTTAGCTAGTAATCCAACATAATCGGCATCAAGCATCAATCACTTTCTCTGGCTTGTGAGAGCACCACAAGCCCATCGTCACTTCAACAGAAGTGCCGTCACCACTCAAAGGAGAGTAATTTCCAGTCAGCACCTACTTAAAGTATCCCGGGCGACTATTTATTTATTGACAAAACCCCAGGTTCTAGAGTTTGTGACACGCGTCTCCCTACTGCGAAACACCAGACCGACAGTAGCAGCATTCACCTCGAATACCACTATATTCTCACAACCAGTATGTCCCTGCTTCACGCATCGCGATTTCTATCGCTGGCCACTCTTCATGGTACAAGCCACTCCTCACGTTTGTGCCGGTGCCGGTGCATTTCTATTCTCTTGCGCCCCATGTTACATCTCTGTATTCCCACGTACGTCTCAATATGCGCACTCCCACATGACTAACAGAAACACAGTTCGGTTGTCACTATGGTATTCATCACTGAGATCTCTGCGTACCAGTGGGATACCATGCACGGAGCGCTGTATCGTTTCACTCATGCCGACGTGTATCAATCCCTACAAAAATCCTTCCATGGTACGTGAAGGATCATGATAGAAGGCTCAGATATTTCATTGAGGTGTTTTTGTCTGTAAACCGGGTAATATGAAGATGTTCTCAAAGAGCTCCCCAAAACCAATCTTCAGACATCACGGGGAATAGATGTAGACATTAAAGAGACTGCTTATCAAAATTGATTCGGAATCTCGCTGCCGTACCGAGATGGCAATTAAGGCATCTGTGAAGTAGGGAAGAACCCTGAGTTTCTATGTATATGATGTTTGTTTTTGTGATGAACCCCCGTACAGGCTGAGGTAGTTGTCTGTACCCAAATACATTTAATGGATGCACATGTAGCCTCATACAACTACAACTGATCCCGAGCAAGTGGAAGATATAATTGGCCCCCTTTTATTAACTTACCCTGCATAGTATACCTCGAAGGTCACTAATAATTATAGGGGAAGTATTTGTCTGTCAGGGCGATTTGAGAAGACAAAATGGCATCTTCGGTGCTACTTTGGAATTGATACCCCCTGGAATCTCGAAAACACTGAAGCTTAAGGAAGATACATGATTTTAAAGCTATATTGATAGTATAACACAGCCTTTGTAGTCGAGTGCGGTATGGAAAGTCTCAAGCTACAAGAAGAATGAAGCACATATATCTAGAGCTTGAAGAAGTCATAGGAAGAGAGAAGATGTATCAGTCATCATGGAGTAGGCACTCTCATCGAGGTGTTGTAAAATTGTCAATTACTCTCATATTCAACAGTGACTCATGGGCTGGAAGCATCTTGGTTATCAATGAATCACTGAATCGCAATACCCTAAGGATCCTAAAGATCCTAAAGACTCAAGAGAGATTGCTGTGTGTATCGATGCGGACAATTCTGTCGCCCCGCCTATAAATTTCCCACATCATCGCCTTCACAACCTTTCTTCCTTCATCCAACTTGCCCAGCAACCAACCTTCCAACCTCCTCAGCAAGCATCGCCTCATTCAGTCTTCGTTTGCCTTGAATGCTCTTTTACATCCTTTCATTTCACTTAAGACAACTTCATTATACCTTCTGGACGTTCACTTTACCTGCTATACCTGGCAGTCTCTCCTCGCACATCCAGACAAGTCAACTACGCTGCTGCGCTTTCATACTCGCTACGTTACATGAAGATTATCTGATTACCTATAAGTGATCTTATATTAGGTTCGTAAAAGCTGCTTCTTGCTCTTCCAATGTCTGTCGCGACAGGAAGCTGACCCTTACAGACCAACTTCCAGCATGTCTCCCGCCCCTGAAGACGGACTTCAGGTCACTCTTTACCAGGCTCCTTCCGACCCCCATGGCGTTATAATAACAAAGGACGCGATCATCGCCAGGCTAATGGCGGACCTAGCCCAGGCGAATGCAGACAAGGAAGATCTCCAGGCTCGTCTCACGAAACAGAAGCAGAGTGAGACGATTTTAGAGAATATCAATGACGAGCAAGACGCCAGGGTCGCCGAACTAGAAGTCAAGCTCCGCCGGCAAATGAAAAAATACAGAGATCTGAAGCGTGAGCGAGATGTCTTCGACCGAGCCCTTGACAGACAAGACTATGAGATCGTTGAATTGAAGAAGGAAGTCTCCGGACAGAACAAGAAGCTCAACGACCAGGAGAGGGAGATTGAGAGGCTAGAGACCCAGCTAGGCATCTGGGAGAGGGTTGTCGATGAGGATAATGCCTCGACAAATTCCGATTCTTCTTCCACGGACTATAACTTGATGGATATCGCTAGCGACGAGGAGGAGGAAGAGGACATCGACGAAGAGTGCGGATATTTTCCCGCTAGATAGTACAATGATTCGGACAACTCCAGCACCAGCACCAGCTCCAACTCCAGCTCCAGCTCCAGCACCGGCACCATCAGCATCGAGTCAGAGGACGAGGCTATGGATGACAACTAGATGATTCTCAACAGCACAGTAAGTATCTATAGAGCCTGCTGATACCTCATTCTTCTTACTAATCTGTGTCAGTCTCATCGCCCAGACTTTTCCATAAGTTTTTCCGCATTCATTATCGGACAATTCGAATTAGCCAGGGTATAAGGTATAAGGTATAAGGCAATAGGGGCATAGGGGTGTTTTGCTTTGGTACTTCGGGCTCAAGGGCACTATGGTGATCTGGGAGACAGGGGTTTTATCACGATGCTATATCGAAACACAGGCTTTTGCCCAGGAACAATAAACTCGCGATTTGAAGGTTCTATTCTATTTATTTGTGATGCTGTGATGCTGTGGTGTTGTAGTGTTGTGATATAGAGAGAGTATTGTCTGTGCTCCTCTGCGACCGTTAAGTCACAGACATTTCTACCAAGGATCCACATGAGTGATCTTGGTAGATGCTCTCGAGAAACTACGATGCGGACAATTCTACGGACCATACCACGAACATTGAGCAAGTTGTGGAATGGCATCCTGTTATCCCCATTGCTGTCATCTCTCTTGTCGTTGGAGGCGCAATGGAGCTTAGCCGATCTTGAAACTCTGCCCACAGGTGACGTCCACGTATATGGCATTCATCAAACTTGGCTTCATACACCATTGTAGGGCTATTACCTTCGTACTCGGTATTCTCCGCAATCTTTCTCGTTGTTGGTGACTACCCAAAAGCAGTCTGTTGACAGTGTTTTCGAGGCGATCGATGGCCTTCTATTGCTCCGAGACCGTTTCAGACAACTGCGTGATCAAAGTGCTGGAGCGTGACTTGCCGTCACCCGGGCCACGATGGTAGATTAAGCTCTTATCGATCTCCCTTCCGCACCGAGTGAGGACGGCTTTGATGGTGCCATTGCAGTATCGTCGGAGGATCTTGACACCGTACACACCGACCAAGTCCGTTAACGGCGTCTACGTAGCCTCCTATTTGAAGGGATGTCAGATAAATGAGTCGCCTTGAAAGGGTACTGAGGGACTCTCACTTGAGCTCATGGCTTCGTTTCTTTTTCCGTCAGTCGGATGCTTCCCGCTGAGGGTTGCACAATGGATCCTTTCATAGTGTCGGCACAGAAATCTCTCGTCTTGGTATTCGCTCTACCCTAATTAGCCTTCGGAATAAATATGATGCTTTGAGGACAAGACTTACGAAGTCTCAAAGGATCCTGCTGATGTCCTCGTGCCAACGGCACTAGACCTCGCTAGGTACGATACGGATAAATGCATCCTGTGCAGATTAGTTTCGGTTTGAGAACGGATACGACAAAGTGACCACAAACCTTGAAGTCGGGAGGCGCTACTTTATCATCAGGGCGATCACGGACGGGTCTTGTAACATTTGTAAGCTTCGCTGGTTCGGAAGTTCATCACGAGATGCTGGCTATGAGACCTGACGAGAAGGCGAAATCGTGAAGGAGTCTGATGAGGAATGAGGAAAGGGGAAAACCAGTGACAATTGAAAGGAGGGGATTCGTGTTCAACTGTTGTTCATATCACATAATGAGGTTGCCAGCTGGAGACGCGGGAGTTGTCAAGTTGTGCAGTACCAGGGAATATTAACAGGTGTCAACACTGCAGCGTCACGCACCGATGTAGCGTCTAGAGGCAGAAAATTTGATAGCATCCACTATTTGGTAGAACAGACAATACATTTGAACAGAAGTCCGTTCTATCGGCACTTTACTTACCACTAACAGACTCATCAGCATCTAACAGTATGGTACCAACGGTATAGCAACACTGTCGCTATCACAATACAAATCCACTATCCTCGTGCTTGCATACCTGGTAGTATTATTGATGGTTGCTCCTCAATTACTAAAATTTTACACAATGACCATCTTCAATGTGATCCTCAAAACCAAGGGTAGCATCGCGTTCTGAATGTGCTCGCGCTGTTATAGCCAACCGATGCTGCCACGGACCAGATTGTCGCGAGTATAGTTGCAGACAATTCAAGAGTTATAGACAATTCAAGAGTTACAGACAATTCTAAGAGTTGCAGACAATTCCAAAGTCGCAGATATTTCAAGAGGTGCAGCCTTAATTTACCCCTGAGGTTATACATCTTTGTCTTTGATATCTTTTATCCTCTTTCGGGTGGTTCTCTCATATCCTTAGCCCCGAACCCTCTATTTCTAGATTCAGGCAAACGTCCACTTAAGAATAGGATTTGTCTGCAACCACTATCCTGTTACTTAAAAACGCCAATATATTCTTCTGCAAAGACTATAATTCATTCTCGCATCCACTAGAATTATCTTAGCGTTTACCTGACCGCGCTCAGCGGGCTCACTCTTCATGTCTCAGTGGTACACAGGCACGATATTGCAGCACATTTGGATAACAACAGAAAAAGCTTGAGTGCCGAATATTTGTCTAAAGGCTCACTAAGTTTACACTAAATCATACTAAATTCATCCAAGTCTTTCTGCCATTTAGGATAAATGTCCTAAGCTCTTTAGCCTCTGTAGTCTTTATAGATTAATCGTCACAATGCGACAATACGTATCATTGTCCAAAGCATATGACACTGACTAGCCAAAAGAATAAATCAGAAGTCCGGCGGGGGATGGAGATGCTTAGCCTGTGGTTTCCCCGCGAATTCTGTCATTGGATTGTCAATTTGGTGCCCGACTGGAGGACTTCATTACTCCGGTGGGGAAGCGATTGGCTTACACGGCATGACGATCATCGAATGAGATACTTATTACATGAAAGCAGAATGGAAAAGAGAAACCCGTAGACTTTGTGACAACATAGAATTGGACTATCTTCTTACCTTCTGACTCTCATCTCAAGGCAGTATCATTAAGGCTGGCAAACATCATGTTCTTCAACGACAAGACTCGCCTCCGCTACAAATACGATGCGGAGGAACTCTGGATTGAACCATGGGGTACAAATGCATTCCGTGTGAGGGCTACCAAAGCTGCTGTGATGCCATCACAAGATTGGGCGCTTCAGAAGCTTGCAGAAGTGACGCCAGAAATCGAGATTTCTGAGGAGTCTGCATCTATCAAGAATGGCAACATCAAAGCCCGCATCTCCCGCCAAGGCAAATTGATCATTGAAAAGAGTGACGGGAAGCTGATTCTGGAAGAGTACTCTCGTCATAGACGGGATCTTCTCGACCCAAAGTGCAGTGCTCTGGAAGTGGAGGCCCGCGAGTTCAAGGGAATTCTGGGAACAGACAACTATCATCTGACAATGCGTCTTGAGAGCGTCAATCCAGACGAGAAGATCTTTGGGATGGGCCAGTACCAACAGCCTTGGCTTGACCTAAAGGGACTCGATCTTGAGCTTGCCCACCGCAACTCTCAAGCAAGCGTTCCCTTCGCCGTGTCCTCGCTTGGATATGGACTCTTGTGGAACAACCCCGCGATAGGAAGGGCTGTATTTGGCAAGAACATCATGAGCTTCGAAGCATTCTCAACTCAGATCCTCGACTATTGGATTGTCGCAGGGGACACGCCAGCGGAAATAGTCGAAGCTTATGCAGATGCCACTGGCAAAGTTCCCATTATGCCTGAGTATGGACTCGGGTTTTGGCAGTGTAAGCTCCGATATCAAACGCAAGAGGAGCTCCTAGAGGTGGCTAGGGAGTACAAGCGCCGAGAAATTCCAATTGATCTCATAGTCATCGATTTCTTCCATTGGCCTAAGCAAGGTGATTGGAAATTCGACTCGGACTACTGGCCTGACCCTGGTGAGTCCAACTGAAGACACCACAGAAAAAGATTGCTAACAACGATCAGACGCCATGGTAAAAGAGCTCACAGATCTCGGAATCGAGCTCATGGTTTCTATCTGGCCAACTGTTGATAAAACAGCTGAGAATTACCAGTACATGCTGGAGCATGGATATTTGATCCGAACTGATAGAGGCGTCCGTATCGGCCTCGACTTCCAGGGCCAAACGGTACATATTGACACCACAAACCCAGACGCAAGGAAATACATATGGGATACAGTAAACAAAAACTACTACTCCAAAGGCATCAAGGCGTTCTGGCTCGATGAAGCAGAGCCAGAATATGCAGCATACGACTTTGACAACTATCGATACTGGCTAGGCTCCAACGGGACGATTGGCAATATCTATCCCGTCAACTATGCTCAAGCCTTTTATGAAGGCCAAGAAGCAGCGGGTCAGAAAAACATTGTCAATCTCCTTCGCTGTGCTTGGGCCGGCAGCCAGAAGTACGGAGCTCTTGTGTGGAGCGGAGATATTGCTTCTTCATGGTCTAGCTTCCACAACCAACTATGCGCAGGCCTCAACATGGGTCTTTCGGGCATCCCCTGGTGGACCACAGATATCGGCGGGTTTCATGGAGGTGATCCAAACGACGAAGACTTCAGAGAGCTCTTTGTGCGGTGGTTCCAGTGGGGCGCATTCTGCCCTGTTATGAGGCTTCATGGTGATCGTGAGCCTCAACAACCACAGCAAGGGACGACCGGCGGTGCGACATGTCGCAGTGGAGCACCTAACGAAGTCTGGTCTTATGGCCCTCAAGTTTACGATATCTGTGTCAAGTATATCAAGATCCGGGAGGACCTCCGACCGTATACTCGAAAGCTTATGAAAGAAGCACATGAAAAGGGAACACCAGTCATGCGACCTCTGTTCTATGAGTTCCCTGACGATAAGAATTCCTGGAACATTTCGACTCAGTACCTCTACGGTGACAAGTATCTGGTCTGTCCTGTATTGAAACCAGGTCAAACTAAGACAGAGGTCTACCTACCCAAGCTCTCAAATGGAGAGAAATGGTCTTCTTTCAACGGTGACGAGTCTTACGAATCCGGAACAACTGTCACGGTTGACTGTCCTTTGACTCAAATGCCTGTCTTTGTTCGAGGAGCATGAGCCTTTTGGGCCGTTGGGCGTTCATGGTAAGTAGAGCACTCTGGCGGAGCGGGTATCTCAAGATGACAATAGGAAATTGAGAAAAGGTTATTAGAATACA